TGCCTTAAAATGGGTACATCTCGAATGCAGGGTGTAAATGCTAATGTGAACTGCAGGGGTATACAGCAGTTCCCTGAAGAGGGATATGAATCTTACAGTATGCGTCGTACTGTAAAGCCAGAACCACATTATCTATTTTGTCGAGCAGCCAGGGTGATTTTCTTCATATTTTCAAGTAATTGTAGAAATTAGTTTATTCCTTATAATAATATAAACTGAAAACATGAATTTCTAACCTAGGTAGGGCCAGTTTTACCTGTTAGGCATTATTGAAAAATAATGTGCATGTTTAGGTTCGTTGAGAGACCACCAAAATTTATCATATCTTTATATATGACATAGAATGTGTGTCCAAGGTTAGAGGCCTTGGGGCTAGCCTCAAGAATGTTTATGCAGTAATTGCTGTGGGTAATCACTTGCCCCTTTTTAAAGCCTGAAGAAATTGTTTAACATGGGCTTTGTTTTCCCCAAGACTGTATTCTGTTTCAGCTCTATAATGCATGTCCTAATACTGTACTATAATGAAGAAGAATGCATTGCCGTTTAGTTTAGTTTAGAAAGATTATTTAATCACATAAATCTTAGGTAAAAACATTTGATGTCCAAAGGTAAAATTTACATATTTTGATTTTGAACTATATAAATTAGAATCTTGCTTCCTTTTCCATGTGTATTCTAATTAGTTCAATAACCATGAATGCATTAACAAAAACTAATGATCACTGTCAGTGGATTCTTTTTTTTATTGATTATGATTACATATAATTTTTCAGGACAATATTGCTTTTATATAATACAAATTCACAAAGAAGCAGAATTTTGGGCAGCATACCAGTAGATCCCTAATCTTGAGTAACACTTCTAGAGAGTTTAGAATAGTACCTTGTTACTGTGTGTCCATGTAGCATAGTACTGCAGTAATAATTAATTATTCTGTTCCACTTATACTTATGCTTGCTCACAAATAACATTATGATTGAGATTACAGTCATTATCAAAAAAGAAAAAATGATCGCCCCGAGCCATGAAAATACAATTCTGACCGATCCCACCATCGGGTCCTGGATTTGGTCATGAACTCCATCACCCCAAAGTGGTGTTCCCATTTTGACACTGGTACCATCGGTCCAGAGGAAGTCTCCCTCGTGCCCTTCGTCTGACCCTCCGATCCAGTAATCTCCTGTCCTGCAGAAAAAAACCTGCAGAATAATTGAAACTTATTTCTAATTAATTCAACATTGTCATAATGTATCAAACAGAAATTCACTTATGGCCAGTGCCATAAAGCCATACTGGCTTAGAGCTGTCTCCTGATAATTATTTATGTTAAAAAATCAACTGCGTTTTAAGTGCACCTACCATTATCGTAGATGTATTTGACAAGGTAATACATGAAGTTGTCGCTGTCCACCTTGAGCAATTCTCCACGTAGATCTTGGCAATAATTTCTCATATCATACCAGGAGCCCAAGACATCAGGCAACACAAGAACACACTGGAGGTGGACAGCGGTGAACGGCGCGAAGCACTCTTATGGTGCTGGTTCTGGTTCTCTTATAATCCTGGTTCTCTGTGGAACCAGGTTTATCATTAGGCTACTCTGTACGCTTTGATAACTCCCTATGACCTCTGTGGAACCAGCAATCACCAGTAAGCCGGCTACTCTGTACGCTTTCCGGCAGTTGCCAAGCCTTAGAATGTTACTCCAAAGTGTCCGAACGGGGAGCAACAGTTTAGTGGGAGAACGTTGGAGACACAAGGGCAAACAGGTCTTTTGTTGGAGGACTGAGGACACGAGGTCCCGAGAGCTGGGATGACCAGGTGCATCAAATGTGTAGAGTAGAATTTGGTGTGTGAAAACGATGAGTCACAATAACGTGGCTGAAGATATGAATTTTAAACCCCATCAGACCAGAAGATGAAGCAAATTCACAAAGAAGCAGAATTTTGGGCAGCATACCAGTAGATCCCTAATCTTGAGTAACACTTCTAGAGAGTTTAGAATAGTACCTTGTTAATGTGTGTCCATGTAGCATAGTACTGCAGTAATAATTAATTATTGTGTTCCACTTATACTTATGCTTGCTCACAAATAACATTATGATTGAGATTACAGTCATTATCAAAAAAGAAAAAATGATCGCCCCGAGCCATGAAAATACAATTCTGACCGATCCCACCATCGGGTCCTGGATTTGGTCATGAACTCCATCACCCCAAAGTGGTGTTCCCATTTTGACACTGGTACTATCGGTCCAGAGGAAGTCTCCCTCGTGCCCTTCGTCTGACCCTCCGATCCAGTAATCTCCTGTCCTGCAGAAAAAAACCTGCAGAATAATTGAAACTTATTTCTAATTAATTCAACATTGTCATAATGTATCAAACAGAAATTCACTTATGGCCAGTGCCATAAAGCCATACTGGCTTAGAGCTGTCTCCTGATAATTATTTATGTTAAAAAATCAACTGCGTTTTAAGTGCACCTACCATTATCGTAGATGTATTTGACAAGGTAATACATTAAGTTGTCGATGTCCACCTTGAGCAATTCTCCACGTAGATCTTGGCAATAATTTCTCATATCATACCAGGAGCCCAAGACATCAGGCAACACAAGAACACACTGGAGGTGGACAGCGGTGAACGGCGCGAAGCACTCTTTTTGGCCTCTGTGGAACCAGGATTATCATTAGGCTACTCTGTACGCTTTGATAACTCCCTATGACCTCTGTGGAACCAGCAATCACCAGTAAGCCGGCTACTCTGTACGCTTTCCGGCAGTTGCCAAGCCTTAGAATGTTACTCCAAAGTGTCCGAACGGGGAGCAACAGTTTAGTGGGAGAACGTTGGAGACACAAGGGCAAACAGGTCTTTTGTTGGAGGACTGAAGACACGAGGTCCCGAGAGCTGGGCTGATCAGGTGCATCAAATGTGTAGAGTCGAATTTGGTGTGTGAAAACGATGAGTCACAATAACGTGGCTGAAGATATGATGACCAAACCGCATTGTCAGTAATGACTGTGGTAGTAGTACCTGGTTGTTGTGTGGTGACAGTGGTAGCAGTACCTGGTTGTTGTGTGGTGACAGTGGTAGCAGTACCTGGTTGTTGTGTGGTGACAGTGGTAGCAGTACCTGGTTGTTGTGTGGTGACAGTGGTAGCAGTACCTGGTTGCTGTTCACCACACGTGTGGTGGTACATGAGACACAGCTCCAGCAGCAGCAGCAACAGCTTGGCCATCGTGGTGAGAGGAGTGAACAGTGAGGCCCCCGCCACTGCTCGCCTCTTATATGCGTCAAGTTATCGCGGGCGTAAAATTGCGTCACTGTACAAACAACATGTGCTTTGGCTCTCATTGTTCTCTGTGTTGCAGCTTGCATTTCTCACATAAAAACGAACTTATTGCTCTAAATACCATATTTGTTTATTTATTTATTTATTTAATTATTTATTTATTTATTTATGTATTTATTTATATACAAGAAGGTACATTGGGGGTATGCGAGAACATAGCAATGATGTTTTTTCATCCTTGTAAAACCACTAGCACGCATAGAGTTTCGGGCATATATTCCGTATGTATCAGATGGTTGGCTTGTAATGTTGCTTCGTATGTGACACGTCTATTGGTTGTCACATTATGTGATAACCAGTGTCGAGCCCCACACACACGAAACTCCAGTGTCTAGTTCCACATACCTGAAACACCAATGTAGAACCTATTCACTCGGGATTCAACGTCAATAATGCATTTTCACATTTAATTTATTTATTATACACCCCATACCCATCCTGTGGGCGGTGGTGGAAGGGTTACAGAGGCACATAATGGGTTCAGGAACTGAACCCCCTAGTTCGTTTAGCGAAGCAAATGACAATCTTGTTAAAGTAGGTACAGAGTTGGACAGTGATAGTATGGATATACGTTAACATTTACATGTACACAAATACATTTATTTACTTATTTATTTATTTATTTATTTATTTATTTAATTTATTTATTTATTTATATACTAGAAGGTACATTGGGTTTGTGAGAATACATAGCATGGTATTTTACAATCTTGTAAAGCCACTAGTACGCGCAGCGTTTCGGGCAGAAAATCAATATTGAATATATATCAATACATATCAATAATCTTTTTATATCACAATTGATTTAAGAAGAGGCTCACAACAATCTCTATTTGCAGTTTACATTTGCCAATAGAAGGCAGTTTACATCTAAGATGAGTTTCACACAGCTAATAATCCTTCTTTTTTATTAACACATATAGGTACATCTGGATTTGTGCAGCTGCCCTAGACTATATGAAGGGGGAGTACAGAGTGTGTAAAAAAACTATCTCTGTGATGCTAAAAATCCCCCATCACACAGGATGGTTAGTCATACAAAGGCATGTGATGAGTAGTCTGCACTGACAAATTCTAGGTGCATTGTGAGGATATTATCATAAACACAAGAGTGAATAAGATAGCAATGATACTAAAAGTGAAAAAGTCCCCATCTCGCAGAATGTGGTTCGTCATATAGGGCGTGGAAATTTCTTAATGTTGTGAACAAGTTTTCTTTCATATTTTCTTTTTGGCTGATCTGATTTCCTGGGTGGTGAGTTTAATGTCCTTTTTGTATATCTCATAATTCCGTTTGTTGTGATGACAATACAGTAGTATGATGTACCTCTTAGTGGGTCAACCAGAGGCTTTGGGCTCGCGCAGGAATATCCCTTCAAAAAAAAAAAAAAAGTAGTATGGTAAAATTGTGTTCGGTAGCCAGCACTGGTAAATTTTGGGTGCATTATGAGGATATCCTCAAGAATGCGAGAGTGAATAGACTAATTGCAAAGCTCCAGGTACTTTATGCCAACGGATCTCAATAGTCTAATTCGGTGATGTAGTGTGCGAGATCATGCCCTAGTGCCTCGAGAAATTAGTTAGAAAACACTCTATGGACATTCAAACCCACATTTCCGACTTCATAGGAGTCGTTGATTTTCGCAATAGGACAATAGGAGCGAATTCTACTTAAAGATTGACACGTTACCCCTGTGTCGCCCACCGACACAGGAACTAGTAGCTTCCTCGAGAACCGTAACTCACACCCAAAATCCCGAAGAGAGGTAGAGTAGAACAAGGAGCTCTCACATGTCTTCAGCCCGTATAACTATTCCTAGGCTAGGATATCCCGTACACAGTCAAAATTATCCAGGCTCTCAGTCGCCTCCATACGTCAGACCTATCACCATAGGCGCTATAGTGTCTCTGGAATTATCTTAGCCGTTGTCTGGTGTAAACACACTCTCCCTCCTAAGAGAACGTCGCCTTTTGACGGATATTCTAAGGCCAAAAATTGTCGTACTAGAGAATGGTAGCGACTCGCAAAATTGACATATACTGTCCCATTTTTTGTTTTGGGTCCTCTGGTAGGTTAGGATAAGGGCACTTTAGTACGACAGTTTCTTGGCGTTGGGAAACCTTAGGAGCCAACTTTTATTGACGTATGATAAAAATTTTCTAGCCTAGCCTGTCCTTCACATAGTCATGCAGTGTATATTAGTTATTACTTTCATCTTAAGCGTTGGTCATCAATATTATATAAATAACAGAGAGGAGGAGACACAGAAACACAGCATGTAAAATAGACTTTAATGAAATGACGTACATTCTTCGCAGTTACTGTATGCTTTTACTAGCTGTTACTAGTACAAATTTGAAACTGGCTCCTTGCGGCCTATTAACTCAAAAGCTTAGTTTACTCCATTCACTTCGCAGTATACATGATAGTCAGTAAATATTCTTTGTTCATATTCCTTTATATTTATAATTGTCTTCTATATAGTCATACTGGCTTAGCACTTGTTCCTGATTATTACAATATAATTTTCACACTTTTTCACTGTCTCAGCATTCTTTTTTTTTTCTTCTGCATGTCATACTCGCAACTTTTAATCATGTAAGACGGCACAAGGATTATTTTGATTGTGTTTGAGAGGAACCAGTATACCTACATTTTGAATTTTGTTGATTTATTCGAATTCAAAGGGGGACGGGGCGCTAGCCTAACCGGCTATTTTTTTTTTTCATCAAGCCATTCGTTGTCTGAGGCAAGATTTTGGCAGCCGAGCATGCAACCAGAGCTCCAGGTACCTCTGATAAAGGATTAGTGAATAAGTGGTTGCAAGAGGCATAACTCTGTGAATCAAGGAGTGACCCGAGGTCACGTGACGAATGAAAGGGCCCAGAGTCGCGACCCATTGGTCTGGAGGTTGCCATTATTGCCTGTGAACTGGCAGTGGAAAGTCGAGTAAAGGTCAGCTCCAAGATCATAAGAGAACATTAGGTTGTGCCAACGTGTCTGGCAGTAAGGAGACGCAAATGATAGCGGGTTTAAGGCAAGGAGTGACTACTTATATCTTTTGGAATATTTTTCGTCGAATTGTGCAAGTTGCAGAGTTAGAGTGCAACACAGGAACCCTTTCTTGGTGGTCAGGGCCTGTTGGGTCAAGTTGTCGAATGAGCAGGAGAGCCAGAGTATGTGTATGGTTGTACTACAACCTACCTCCAGGGAATCATGAACTTTAAGGACAGTGTCTACAGGAATCAGGGACACTTGAGGCGAATTCAAGCGACCCTGACTCTTGCAAGGTGCAGCGAAGTCAAAGTTGGCCTCCTGCTGCCCGAGTGGCTAGTGGAAATACCACAGTGAAGGGGTGCAGTGGCTGTGTGCAGCAGTTGATTACCAGTCATTGTAGCAGAAATTTAACTTTGCAGTGAAAAAGCCCGGTAAGCCTTCAGGGTGAGAGCTACAGTGCACCTGGAACATTGCTAGTGAGATTTTGATGTGGTCACCTGAAGGACAGGGGCCATGTAATTACTCTAACTGTAAGGAGTCGAGTGACGCCCCAAGTCTTGTGTGGCGTCACGTTAATATTCCACAGATTTAATCACATAAATCTTGGGTAAAAACATTTTATGTCCAAAGGTAAAATTTACATATTTTGATTTTGAATTATATAAATTAGAATCTTGCTTCCTTTTCCATAATGTATTCTAATTGAGTTCAATAACTATGAATGCATAAACAAATACTAATGATCACTGTTAGTGGATTCTGTTTTATTGATTATGATTATATTTAGTTTTTCAGGGCAATATTGCTTTTATATAATGCAAATTCACGAAAACACAGAATTTTGGCCAGCATACCAGTAGATCCTTAATCTTAAGTAACACACTACTGAAGAGTTTAGCAAAGTACCTTATTAATATGTGGCCATGTAGCATAATACTGCAGTCACAGTTGATTATTATGTCCCATCCATACTTATGCTTGCTCACAAATAGCACCAGCTTTGGCATTACAGTCACTATCAAAAAAGAAATAATGATCATTCTGAGTCATGACAATACAATTTTGACTGGTCCCACCATCGGGTTCCTGGATTTGGTCATTAACTCCATCACCCCAAAATGGTGTTCCCATTTTGACATTGGTACCATCGGTCCAGAGGAAGTCTCCCTCGTGCCCTTCGTCTGACCCGCCAATCCAGTAATGTGCTCTATCTAGACCTGCAGAATAATTGAAACTTTTATTTCTAATTAATTCAAACATTGTCATAATGTTCCTAAAAGAAATTCACTTATGGCTTTATGACTGCCCATATTGGTTTAGAGTTGTCTCCTGATAATTACTTATTTATGGCCAAAAATCAACTTCGTTATAAGTGCTCCTACCAAATTCAAATTCAAAATCAAATTTTTATTCAGGTAAAAGTACATATATAAAAGATGAGTTACAAACAAAGACGTCACAAAGTTAGATTTACAGATAGACCTATTACATACAATACTTAAAGCCACTGATACGCATAGCGTTTCGGGCAAAACGCTTACCATTGTCGAGGATGTATCTGACAAGGTAATACATGAAGTTATCGCTGTCCACCTTGACCAGCTCTCCTCGTAGATCTTGGCAATAATTTCTCATTTCATACCAGGAGCCCGAGACATCAGGCACCACAAGAACACACTGGAGGTGGACAGCGGTGAACGGCGCGAAGCACTCTATGGCCTCTGTGGAACCAGGATTATCATTAGGCTACTCTGTACGCTTTGGTAACTCCTATGGCCACTGTGGAACCAGCAATCACCAGTAAGCCGGCTACTCTCTTTATACGCTTTCTGGCAGTTGCCAAGCCTTAGAATGTGACTCCAAAACGTCCGAACGAGGAGCAACAGTTTAGTGGGAGAGTGTTGGAGACACAAGGGCCAACAGGTCTGGAGGACTGAGGACACGAGGTCCCGAGAGCTGGGATGACCAGCTCTATCGAATGTGTAAAGTCGAATTTGGTGTGTGAAGACGGTGAGTCACAATAACGTGGCTGAAGATATGATGACCAAACCCCACAGACCAGAAGATGAAGAAACGACAACGTTTCGGTCCGTCTTGGACCATTATCAAGTCGTATGTGATAATGACTTCATAATGATCCAGGACGGACCGAAACGTCGTCATATCTTCATCATTTGATGTGTGAGTATAAAGAGTAATGAGAGACTAACACAGAGGATGGACTTATAAGGGTTCTTAGGGTTAGAATCTTAATACTACGTTATTTGTACCTGTTAGGGTTCAATGCATGGACCGACTATAGAGTCCAGAATATGATTTTCTTGAGGACCACTGTCTCTAGTGGCCTCGATGGGGACAGGAAGCCGGTGGCTTGTCAATGGTCCCCTCATTTTTTCCTGAGGATTCTTTCCAATTGGGTTTTGAACTACAGTAATATCTTCGTAATTACGGCTTCACCTTGTAGGCGGTTCCCATGGGTTTATATCCGTTTGAATGAAAAAAAGCATCTGTTTTCTGTGCTTCAATTATTTTTTTGTCCCGAGGGACGAGATTATTGGGCAGCGCCATTCATCCTGTGAGTGGACACACCGCCATAGCAGTATGTACAGTATTCCCCAATAGGAAAAAACCCCGTTGGGTTGTTCACCCTGTCACTTGTACCTAGACATAGCTGGAACTTGATTAACAGTCTCACGTGAACAGTTTATCAGACAAGAAGGTTATCATTGTCATTGACAGTGGTAGCAGTACCTGGTTGTTGGGTGGTGACTGTGGTAGTAGTACCTGGCTGGTGTGTGATGACTGTGGTAGTAGTACCTGGTTGTTGGGTGGTGACAGTGGTAGTAGTACCTGGCTGGTGTGTGATGACTGTGGTAGCAGTACCTGGTTGTTGGGTGGTGACTGTGGTAGTAGTACCTGGCTGGTGTGTGATGACTGTGGTAGTAGTACCTGGTTGTTGTGTGGTGACAGTGGTAGCAGTACCTGGTTGTTGTGTGGTGACAGTGGTAGCAGTACCTGGTTGTTGTGTGGTGACAGTGGTAGCAGTACCTGGTTGTTGTGTGGTGACTGTGGTAGCAGTACCTGGTTGCTGTTCACCACACGTGTGGTGGCAGATGAGACACAGCTCCAGCAGCAGCAGCAGCAACAGCTTGGCCATCGTGGTGGGAGGAGTGAACAGTGAGGCCCCCGCCTCTGCTCGCCTCTTATATGCGTGAAGTTATCGTGGACGTAAAATTGTGTGACTGTTCAAACAACATATGCTTTGGCTCTCATTGTTCTCTGTGTTACAGCTTTCATTTCCCACATAAGATTGAACTTATTGCCCAAAATACCATATATATTTATTTTTGTTATATACAAGAAGGTACATTGGGTTTAGGAGAGTACATAGCATTGATGTTTTTACATCCTTGTAAAGCCACTAGCACGCATAGAGTTTCGGGCATATATTCTGTATGTATCAGATGGTTGGCTTGTAATGTTGCTTCGTATGTGACACATCTATTGGATAGAGCCCACACACACACACGAAACTCCAGTGTCGAGCCCACATACACGAAACTCCAATGTGGAACCCATACACATGTTACGTACCCTTATAAGATACGTAAGTGAATATATTAATATGTACATTTATAATTGTATGTAAATTACAAGCATGTATATTGTTATACTTATATGTTCTATGCAAATGCACATTCATGTTACAGTGTTGGCGTTAGGCCCAGCGTATCGTGGGAATGATTGTTTATTTCTTTGTGTGATCAGTTTTCCCACGGGAACTAATGATTTATATGTGATCATCAGTGGGTAACAGAGTGAAATAATAATTGAGTGAACTGTATCTGGCAAATTGTCGTGGGATCGTCCGTTGCTGGGGTGTGCATGCCATTATGCTATTCTGTATGCATATTTTAATTACTATGTAAAGAAACACGTACTTTTGTTGTCTATATCAATATGTACTAATTATTCATTAAGTTAGTTTAAGATTACTCTTGTCACAATGTAGTGCTCCATTGTTGAAATAATAAATATTGTAACTTTGGCAATTTATTCGCGGGGCGAGGCAATCTCTTTTGATTCTCGCGTGATTTTGTTTAGTAGCTGAGCAGAAACCGGGGAGATAACACTTGTTGGATTAAGTCATTCTTTTATTCTAGCCATATAATTATTCTTAGTATTGATTTAATGTCTGGAAGTTACAGTGATATTTTTAATGTGATATATTGTGACCATATAATCATCTGTTTGCCTTTGAGATTTATTTAATATAAATGATATATATGCTTAGTCTTTATTCTTCAGTCCTATGAAGATTCTATTTTATGCTCATTACCAATTCAAGGGGTTATACTGGTGATTCGCTATTGAGAACAGCAGTTGTGTCGTATCCCTAGACTTATTAAAGTTTGGCTGCTGTAGGATCACGAGCCGTAACGTACGATAGGTAACAAAGAGATATGGGGGCCTGTGCCGGGAAATATTGTCCCACTTAACTAGTGGGTTGCGTCCGGCACCCGTTTGCTAAGCGGGGGAGATTTTGCCCACGCCGTCCAAATTAGGGCAAACGCTGTAGCCACGCCGTCTAGGGCGGCCAGGGGTAGACCCGAGGCTTCTGGTCTCTGTGACGCTTGTCGGAAACCAGGAACCCTGGGCCACATATCCCAGGCCTGCCATAAGACACACGGGGCTCGGGTGAAACGTCACGACGACATCACCCGGTTCGTAGCTGGCCGATTGCGGCAAAGAGGCTTTGAGGTGGAGCGTGAGGTCCGTATACCAGACGGAGGGACCTTCTGCAAGCCAGATATTATAGCTTGCAAAGGTGATGAGGCCTTCATATTAGACACCCAGGTCTCAGCTGATAACTTCCCACTCTCCCGTCCACATCAGAGCAAGTGCGACAAATACGGCACCCCCGAGATCCTGCAGAAGGTCCGGGAGTATACCGGTAAGCCTACAGTATCCGCCTCCTCAATAACCCTTAATTGGAGAGGTGGATGGTGCAAGGAGAGTGCGCGTGGTCTACAAGGTATGGGTCTCACCAAGAGCGATCTCGAGATTTGCTCCGTGAAGGCCCTGACCTGGACATATTCGATATACAGAATATGGTCCAAGGCCACGTCAAGGGGCAGGCCCCCCTAGCCCCGGGGTCACTGTGCACAGGGTGCATAAGGGTAACTATAGTCACGCTTAGGTAAACCGCAGCCAAGTCAGCTGGTAGCCAACTATCTAAGCAGTTTCGTCATCTGGAGTACCACTTCTCCTAATGGCGTCTCACAAGAGGGTGGATGACCTGGCAGAGCCCGCGAGTAGATAAGGCGGCGTCCGGAGGGACCCCATGCGCATACATGATAACCCTCCCGCTCCGGGGCCGAGTTAGGAGCATCCACTGTGTCTAGTTTTCCATGTATGCCGACGTCACATCATCATCCCTGCCGATTGGGCAGCCTGCTGCTTTGGCCTTCAGCGTTTGTTTGTTCTTTTTACATGTTATACTGTGCACCCCTACCTATGTGTGCTGTGTCCCATATAGAAAAAACCAAATACAAAAGAATTTTCCATTAATATTTTGTTTATTTTCAGGTTATTATTATGTATTATTAGTATCATCTTAACTCTTGTGGGTGTGATGAGATCTGCCATATATGTTTATTTTAGTTTGTGTGTGTTAGGGTATTAGGTATGCTTAGGGGTCCGTCTCGCCATGCCCTGTGGCTGGGGGGATCGGGCTCCGAAGCTACATAAAAACCCTATACCCCCCCGAAGTGGCAAGGGGAGTTAGGGGACAAAAAAAAAAAAAAAAAATAACTATGCTAATCTAACCTTGCCTTCCTAGGTACCAGTGTCAAGTGTCTCTGTGTGTTTCTTAAGAACTATTCCATGTGCCAAGCAAGCCTTCCTGTGTGTCAAGTAACAACGTTTCACGATTTTGAGGTAAGTCATCCTATATATTTTGTTTGTGCAGTGAGGCCAAGCGAATTTTCAGTGTGGTGACAATTTTACAGTGAAGTGTAGTGCAGTGCCATTATTTTAATTATTTTTGTGAATCAAGTGCCAAGTGTTAGTAACGATGGAGGAGAAAGTTGCAGCGTTGGTGGCTCACCCAGACTTTGAAGGGATTCAGAACCTTAAAAAGACTGAGTTAATACAAATGGCAAATCATTTGGATTTGACCGCCAGCAATAGAATGGTTAAAGCCCAAATATTGAAAGTCATTGTGACGCATTTTGTTGAGAATGGGGAGTTAGGTGAAGAAATTCTAGAGGAGTTAAGAGAGGAGTCGAGTGATCAGATGACGTTAAAGCGTCTTGAGTTAGAAGCTCGCCAATTAGAGCTTGAAGCTCAAAAAGAACAGAAAATATTAGAGGCTGAAGCTCGTCAAAGAGAGATTGAAGCTCAACAGCAACAGCAAATATTAGAGGCTGAAGCTCAGCAAAGGGAGCTAGAGACTAGGCGTTTAGAAATTGCGGTACAGTTGCAAATAGAAGCCACAAAGAAGCAACAAGCCGAGGAACAAACTAGGCAATTAGAGATTCAACAACAAATGGCTGACACTAACTTCAGGCTTGAATCACAGCGTATGGCAGCTGGGCATGGAAATACTAGTAATGTTTCAACAAATAGTGATAATAATCCCATCAGGATGAATAAGTATATAGAGTTGCCCAAGTTCAATGAGGAAGATCCTGAGGTTTTCTTTGCACATTTTAATAAAATTGCCATCAGTATGAACTGGCCAAGGGATCAGTGGGTAGCCATTATGCAGTCTCAATTCAAGGGGCGTAGTCAGGAGGTTTTCACATCCCTCCCTGACGCTCATAGTTTTGATTATGACTTTGTAAAGAAAAGCATCCTCAATGCATATCAGCTAAATCCAGAGGCACACAGGCAAAAGTTCAGGAACCTAAGGAGAATCAAGGATCAGACAATAGCCGATTTTACTCGTCAGAAGACGAATTTTTGCAACAGATGGTTAAAGTCACTTGCAGTCACTGATTTTGATGCTCTAAAGAATCTTCTCATAATGGAAGAAGTATTGTCCTGTCTTCCAGACCAGTTGTCTACTTTTATGGCAGAACAAAAGAATGTAACCGATATTGATGAGCTGTCAAAGCTCGCGGATGAGCATGAGTTGCTGACTAAGGCCCCGTTTACGGCCACTTCACCTAAGTCTAGTCGTAGAGTAAATTTCAATGCTCACCGTACTCCTTATCAGTATAAGTCTCCTCCTGGTGCGACAGTTACTCCCGTGAACTCTTCTCTTACTAACCCTAAGATGGTTACTCCATTGCCAGGATCATCTAAGCCTAGTAATGCTAATTCTAAACCGGCAGTTGGTTATACCAGTGTGTCCACTGTCAAACATTGTACCCATTGTAAGAGAAGGGGGCATGTGATTTCTTCATGTTTTAGTTTGCATCCTGAACTCCGACCAACTGGTCTTATTATGAGTAAAGGAGTGCAACCTATTAATTCTTCATGTATTACAGTCAGTCCCAATTGGATGGCTGAATTCAAACCCTATATGTCCACAGGTACCTTATTATGTACTAATGGTAGACATAAGACTGTTCAATTACTCCGTGATACTGGAGCTTCACAGTCTCTTATTACCCAGAAGGTACTTGATGATGTTGACACCCGAGATCTGGGTGAAGTTGTGCTTCTCCAAGGTATTGCCGGTAGTGTGCAACCAGTGTCCTTATTGCAAGTTAACCTTGATTCTAAATATACTTCAGGATGGTGTAATGTTGGTGTAAGTAAACAGCTGCCCATTCCTGGGGTAGACATTATTCTAGGTAATGATTTTGGCAACCAAATGGTTGTAGGGCCCAAGTGTCCCATCATGTTAACTAAACCCCATAATGTATTAGCTCAACCGGAAGCAGATGATGATATTATTTACCCTGCTTGTGTTGTTACTAGATCAATGGGAAAAACAGGTGAGAGTAATCCTGTCTTCACTAAGGTTGCTGATCCCAAGACCAGGACCCCTTCAGTAAAGGAGTGGGAGGTGGATCTTGAGGATTCTTTTATGACTCGACTGGATGATGAGAGTGAGGCCGTAGTAGAAGCCCCGCCGAACCTAAATCACGAGGAAAGTGAAGGTGAGGAGGCTGAACTATCTGTACCTTGCCCGCTTGTCTCCAGTGCGCCAGTTGTCGAGAGTGAGGCCGAAGTAGCTATGACTCCATTTTATTC